AACAAGAATTCAACAGGGCCCCGGGGGCTATTCAACGTGTACAACGGAGTTGAAACTTTCCCGTTGCCCGTTGAATAGATACATAGTACGCGGCGGCGGAGTTCCGATTCATGGGCCATCATCAAGCAATCGTGTTGGCAGAGGCATTGGCTGTTGGACGACTGTCAGCACCGGGAATCAGCCACGTGTCGACCGTCGTCATCTTCGGCGGTGATATTAGCGCGATCAACCCTCTAGTAGGCTCTACGACACATGGTCATCCGGACGTTGCTAAGGGAGTGCGGCCAGCAGCTGGCAACGGAGTGGAATCAGCGGTTTACGCGCCACGACGACAATCTTGTCCCCATGGACGACATCGACGTCGGAGGGCTCCGAACGTCTCGGAACGAGCCGGTGGTGGTGCTTCCGGAGCTCGTTCCCTTCTAGCGTCCTCAATGAACCGGTCCCAGATCTTGACCTTCGCTCTTCCCTCTCTCTTCCCTACCTTCTGGCAGTCTGATCTCTACCTCCGTCTCTCCTTTTGCTTAAAGCCCCTCGCCGTTCCCCTCATCGAACAAAGACACTGGGCGATTTGGTGTGAGCACTACCTCACTCTTTCGCTCTGCCTGGTCGAAGTGGAGATGACGTGGACCCGAGACAGCGAACATCGTGTCGTGAGGGAGAGCGTGGAGCTGCTAATTATCCAGGCCTGGAGGACGAAAGTGGAGGGTGATCTTCTTGGATTCGTCTTCGGTGTAGTAGAGCCGGACCATCGCCAAATGATCGTGTGGGAACTCACGGTCCTTCTTGCGCAGCTCTTCGACGACCTTCCCCTCGATATCATCTCGCAGTGCAACGAAAGTCCAGTGCCGCACGTCCTTCAGCGAAGATTGACGCCCTATCTGCACTGGTCAGCCTGTGCAGAGGATCGGACGGGAGGCGACAGCTATCCATCGCGCACAGAGTACCTGAACCCCCGAGGGATCATTGACACCCTCTTCTTTTTGCCCTGAACAGCGGTGGAAGAAAGAGCGGTGGCGGAAGAAGCTGAGGTGGAAGACGAAAGCGAGGAGGAGACCTCGGAAGAAGCAAGGAGCTACAGCGAATACAGCGAGAAAGATTTGGGTGGTGAAGATAAAGAAGAAGAAGAAGAAGAGGATCAGTTGAAGGAAGAGGAGGAATCTGAGTGGGAGACTTTGGGTGAAGAGGCGCATCGCGAAGAGACTTAGGAGAAGGATCCCAAGGCGGCACGAAGGAGAGAGGAGATCGCAGCCGGGAAGCAACCGCAGGAGTTCGCAAGTGGTGTGGATCCGCCGATCCTGAACGACTCGGCCAAGGATCCCGAGCCGCCCAAAAATGACGATGGGGACCTTCCTGCCGAGACTTCGAGCGCACCGACGTGCAGGCGACAGAGCAGATCCCGATCCCCATCGCACCCTCCCCCAGTTCGAGAATGTGTCGATGCGGGGCATCGGGCTTCGTCACCGGTCGTTATCCTGCCGTCCCCTTGATTTCCTCACCCTCCGTAAGATTACCATTCTGGTCTCTTTCCCCCACACCCCTTCCCGACTTCAACCTTCCGCCCCTTCTATGCCACCCACCTCGCTATCACGGTGCATCCGCTCGTCTCTACCAGGTGCACCACCCCTGTCTTCTGTCTCCATGTCCTTCTCTTCAGTGCCGTGTGGCGAGGCCACAACATGATCGAGGTCTATTGCATTATTATGGGGACTATCCCCGCATGTGAAAACCATGATCGATTCCGAACGGCCCTCCTTCACACCTGCACGACCCTCTATCCCGACTACCTTGCGTCCCTTCCCCATGACGACGGATTGTCCGCATCGGAGAGAGAGAGAGAGGAAGAGAGAGTTGAGGTTGATGAACGTGGATTTGCAATTTTCTGTCTTTCCCTCCCAACTTTTGTATATAAATGTTGATCTCGGCTTCGGGTGATTCGCTCATTTTTTGCTCTCAGCATTTTTGTCTCGACTTCGGTCTGCGTCCACCTGTAATTAGTTGTAATCCTTCCTACTGAGTGTTTGATTGCATGGATGTTGCTTTGCGAAGTTTGCGATAAATGAATGATATGTTTGTCGTTTTTGCCTAGTCATCATCATTGTTTGCCACTTTGATCCGCTGTTCTGATGTTGTTGCGATGTCTGATGTGTAATGACACCTTGCATGCTCGAAAATCATTGTTTGTGGGATCACTGAGTGATCAGATGATTGGATAGTTGTCCATGACACGTGGCGATTCTGCATGAAGAGTTAAACTCTCACCTTTTTCGGGTATAAATGAACACCCCACGGGGATACGTGTAAGCGCCATCTGATCTGCGCAACCTACACGTATCCACACACAGCAATTCGCGATCATTAACGAAGCTGGCACCTCGGGTAGGTGGGGAAATCTACTAAACACCCGCGGATGCGCTTGTGGCGTTGGTGTGCGCTTGTTACAAAGGATTTTTTAGGGTTTTGTTTTTGGGGAATTCGGTTGAAATTGCTTTTTGTTGTCTACTTGTTATAAAGGTTTTTTTTTTTTTTTCTAGTTTTTTTTTTTTGGACTTCTGTTGGAATTATGAAGGGTTTTTAGGTTTTTTCTGTTGGAATTGCTTCTCGTGGTGCTTCTCTGACGTCTTAGGCCGTAGACAGCATACGTAGTTTCGGGATTTTGTTGATTACCGTTGTTTTCTCGTTTTTGTTAGGGTTAGCAATTTCTGTTTTTAGGATCGATAGTTTTTTCTTAGAAAGTTTCTTTTGTTCAATCGCCGTTTTGTCTTTTTTTTGGTTCCTTTTCACAGGGGACGGGCTCCACTGGCTGAATGCAGTTGGAGGCCTCGTGGCCCCTGAATTTGAAACTTGTGTTTAATTGTATTTTCGCCTTGGGCACTGGGCCTTGATAAAAAAAAAAAAAAAAAAAAAGGCAAACGGAAGGGGGCTCATACAGTTTCTCTAGAAAAAAGCCTTTGGGGGAAACAAGAGGGTCGTTGAGCTAGCTGTCTCGAAAAAAGAAGACAGCTAGCTCAACAGAAAGTGGCGAGGGTAAGGGGAGTAGTATTCGAGAGAAAGGATTTACTTCTGCTTTTTGTAGTAAGAAAAAGCACAGATAGTCTCTATTGCCTTTTTTATTAAAAATGGATCGCTAGATGACTTGGACGATGTGCATCTCCATTGTGGCGTACAGTCACATAGCGTCGAAACCCAACGTTGACCTAGCTCAACGGAGCTAGTGGGACAAGGTCCCGGGGATGGCACCCACCACTCACCAAATGTGTAAATAAAAAAAAGAGAGTCTTACGTAGAACATGAAAAGATACACCCGATTTTTTTTCTTTTTTTTTATATATCACTTATTCTATACCTCTCAAGTGAATCCACAGAGGGCCTCTTTCCACACCACTAGAAAACCTTACATGTAAGGGTTTCATCGTTCCACCCCTCCCTAATGACGAGAAAAAAAATGGCAAATTTGTTTTCACATTCGCGGCCGTAACGGCGAGCCCCACAAAAGAGAGGACCCCCCAGCCAAAACGGACACAAACGTAAGGACGGCCGTGGAGGTGACTTGAAAGTAGGGGCGGGGCCCTTACTTCCACGAAAAACCCGCTTTTTTTTTTTTTTTTTTTTTTTTTTCGTCAGGTGTTTCCTTTTCGTTCCTGGTCCAACGGATGGGTTGTCCGGTACACCGCGGGACGACGGTCCCACGGTAGCCTCCAACGGGTAGCGTGGTGGCCCGGTTGTGGCCCTGCGGTCCCTCCGGTTAGCCGTTTCGACTTGCGTGTGGACGCAACCGTTGCAGGGGTCCCCGCGGAGGCGGGCGTGCGAGTGTCGTTGGCGGCTCGTCTTTCGGATGCGAACTGTGGGTGGTGTGCACAGCCCATCGGTTTCGATCAAGCAAAACCACCCACCTCCCGCCACACCGTGACGAAAACGTGCGAGCTGTGCTATATTCCACTCCTCTGCTTCCACGCTTTGTCGTCATCGAAAGTTGGCAGATCTGTTTCTCGTGTTTTGCTGCTGGAGCGCAAGGCTGACATGGTGAGGAAGACAACTCTGCTAATTATCCTGCTTGGGGCGGTGGTGCTGTTCATTGCTCTGCACGCGTGCCAACTGGCCGGTGCTCGCATCCGACGTGGAAGGAGGAAGGGGTTGAAGAGGCTTCGACAGGGCGCTCTGGCGAGCAAAGGAATGTGGGATGAATAAAGTCGGGGTTGTCAGGGTTTTGGGATGGGCAGGGGGGTGTACCGTGTACGGAGGAGGGAGTGGAATGCAGCACAACGTCCACCACAGGTTTGATCCAAATCTGTATTCACATTTGCCTCCTCACCAGCAGCCTTTGCCTGACGATACCACGTGGTCACCCCCTCCGTCGACCCTGGATCTGGCATGGGGGTCTACGCAGATGTCTTACGACACACCAGCGTGAGTAGAAAGCAGGGGAGGGGGTGTGGCTCCCATGTCCACATTGTTGGGCAAGACGCGGGGGGGAGACCGTCTTCCATTCGATTTGCAACTCTCACCAACCACCACCATGGACGCGTCTAGAACGGTCCTCGTCCAGCAGAGTGGACATGGTGGCGGTACCAGCACGAGACAATGCATGGCACCGACTTTGACAAGGGGATGTCAATGCATCGTCTGAACCGCGTGTCAAGGCCAACGCCAAGCCATCCCGGACCTGCTGCTAGTGTCCCGTATCACCAACCCTCGGCAAGTGCTACCATGCAGGAAGGGAGGCCTGATCTAAGCGCCGTTGCGGAATCCCCTCAATGCGTGGAGTGTATTGTTTGTTGCTTCAATAGCTTGCGGATGACAAGTGACGGTGACGGAGCATAGCTGAATGGTGGTGCGAGCGGGACAGACTTCGTCGACTATGGTGACGACGAAGAAGAAGACGAGGCTGCCGTGAAGGAAGTAGCCGCCAGCAGGAACAAAAAGCAAGCTTGCAAAGGTCGTGGGAAAGCGAAGGGGAAGGATAAGGAAGGTGATAGAAACGGCGAGGGTGGCGGGAGCGGTGCGGGGGGGAATTGGAATTTGAACTAGTCCCTGGTTCTTGAGAGACCAAGAAGGACCAGAAGTGGATGGACATCGCGAAGCAGATGGAGAAGGAAGGAGTTCGACAGAATGGGGAGCAATGCATGAAGAGGTGGGAGAACATATTCGGGTGGTACAGAAAGGTGTGGAACAAGGAGAAGGACTCGGGACTGCAATTGTACTTCCTCATGAGCACGAAAGCACGGAAGGAGAAAGGCTACAGGTTCAATCTAGACCGCACTTTGTATGATGCGATCCACATCATGCAAGGGAACAACCAGGCCGTTCACCCGTCGAATCTCGTGGACACAGGCAACAGACAAGGACTACAATCACAACAAGGAGACCATAGCCAAGCGGTCGTGGGCACAGGGGAAGCAGACACTTCGGCGAGTGAGAACAAGGAAGCGGATGTGGATGACGGGTGTGGCAGCAGGTCGTCTTCGAACGACATGCAGGGGAAGCGGAAGAACGCTAGGCAGCTGGCTTTCGAGGCGGTGATGGATGTGATGAAAACACACTCCACTGTAGTCGCGGAGTCTGTGGACCGCGGAAGCAAGCGGCAGTGCGACGTGCTCCAGAGGCAGTGCGGCATCATGGACAGGGAGGCGAGAACGCAGGAGAGGCAGTGCGAAGTCCTAGACGCCAGGCAGTGGATGCTGTGCGATGCTCTGCTTAAGATCACATCGGCATTGGCCAGGGATTGATTGCGAGGTTGGGACAGTAGAGCACACCCCAAACACCACATGGGTGTGCTTGGACGGGCGGTTCGCAAGGTGTAATTTCATGGTTGGATTTCGCCCCTCCAATCGGTCTTTCCCCCCCCTGTATCTTGCTTGCGTTGTTGTCGTTCAGAATACGCACTGTCGCCGACCATTACCTTTTGTTGCTGACCGTCTGTTTGTACAGGGTCATTTCAAAGGATTGTTTTTTCTTTTTTTTTTTCCATTCTATTTGGTGGGCCGTTCGTTTGCATGCACTGCGGGTGGTCATACCCCGACGTGTTGAGGTTCGATGACGTTCTAGAGGAGTAGGGAGACGCATACCACCCCGGGGGGTCACTTCGTAGTGCACATCGCCGGTGGGGAGGGAGGGTTGATGGACATGGGCTCCTGCGGCGAGAAGAGGCGGGTCTATCTCACCAATCAACCCTCCGCCGGGCCTTTGGGCGTGAAGACATCCGAGAATTGTGTGCCGCATGTCGAAGGGTGGACAGCGTTGCCGGGGACATGTATGAAATCAGAGCACAGTGTGTGTCCAACGCCGCCTTGAAAGATCGCTGATGGGAGATGACGTGGTGGAGGTGCGCGACAGGTGGGCGGTGCGTGTGCACGGATCCTTGTTAGTTGGCGGCGTGTGAAGGTCATACGTGCCTCGAAGTGGAGGGAGGTGGCCAGGGCGGTTCTCCAAGGGGAGGAAGGTCAATTGCGCACTCGTGTTTAATTCGGAACGCAATGCGAATAGTGATATCGTAGGTGGTGGTAATCGCAGGGTCGTCCTCTCGGATTCCAAGATCGGACATCGCAACTGCGTCGGCCCGTCGGGGTGCGGCGGTGCGCATCAATGGACATCCAGGTGGCACTTAGAGGTTGTGTCCTCAGTCGAACGATAACATTCTACGAGATGAGGCATCGTCGCGTAGAGGAGGACAGTAGGGTGTTTGATTTCGCGAGCACAATCAGTCAACACAAAGTGATGCATTACGAGGTGGACGCGAATGGAGATACAATTCTCCACGTAAGCGTCGCTTTGGCATATGTCGATGACATGTTGCACGAGGCCGTCCGCTATGCAAGGAAAGTCGTCCGCGCGATCCCCAACCGCTGCGAAGGAGGAGTGGACGTCCTCACCGACATCATCGACCTCCTCATGTCCAACATCTCAAACGAGCATGAGGATCGCATGACTGATCCCGCCGATTTTCAGGTGCACCCCAATCCTCCCATGCACGACCGCCCAGGTCTCCGCGGCGAGATCCGCAGCATCGAAGAGTAGATCCGGATGGAGGTGATGTCGGCAAACCGTTGGCAGCTCGCGGAGGGGAGAGAGAGAGGAAAAAAAAAAAAAAAAAAAGAGAAAGAGAGAGAGAGAGAGCACCGTAGTGGGAGATGGTCGTTACGATAACTGTGACGACATCTATGTGTCCCCCCGTACGAATACGGGGAGTACGTACAGCCGTACGCCCGTACAAACGGCCCCCCAGGCGGTCGTACAGTCCGTGCGTACGACCGTACGAACCGTTTCGGGGGCCTTCCCCGGGGGGGGGGGCGTCTGAGGGGGTGGGGACTCGGGAGGGTGTGGCTACCCCCCAAAGTAAAAATAAAAATTGTTTGTTCAGGGGTTTGGGGGTGGTGGGGGTCGGGGAAAAAAAAAAAAGATTGATTGATTGATTGAGTGATTGATTGATTGATTGATTGATTGATTGATTGATTGATTGATTTATGATTGATTGATTGATTGATTGATTGATTGATTGATTGATTGATTGATTGATTAATTGATTCCATTTGATTGATTAATGAAAAAAAGAAAAGAAAAAAAAAGATGTCGCCGAGTTTTTTTCTTTGATTGATTGATTGATTGGTTGGTTGGTTGGTTGGTTGGGGGAGGGTTGGCCCCCCCCCCCGCCGCGTGAGTAGGTGATGTGAGTAGGTGATGTGTTCCTTTGCTCCGTGTTGGATGTGTGGACGACCCCGTCTGCGCTCCACCACTACCTTGCTGCCCGTTCCGCTTGCCTCGCAGGTCGTTCTTGGCATGCTGCTGTTTTCGCTGTGTGGTGTGGCCGGGTTGTGGTGTTGCCTTGCGCTTCGCTGCCTTGCCGCATGTCCGCTGGTCGTGCCTTTGGGGTCTTTTGCTTGCGCGCCCTGTAGTTTAATTGCCGTGTTGGGGTTGCCTTGTGCTCCTCAGCTATGAATCCCCCACGGCCGCGGTCACCGCGGGCACAATCGCAGACTGCGGTCACGACCACGGGCCCGCAGTCATGACCGCGGTCCGTAGTCAAGAAAAAAAAACAAAAAACAAAAAACAAAAAAGAAATTCAGAAAAATCTGAAAAAAATATATGTTATGCCAAAAAATAAACTGAACAACTTTTGCCTTTGGGTCATATCAAAACTCGTTACCTCATTTGCGATGAAAAACAAACAAAATCCTTTATTTTTCTTACTAAAAGAATAAAGTGAAGAACTGTTGCCTGAAGGATTTCTGTTTCTCATTTTTTTTAAATCCAAAATGAAGTCAAAAAATAAAACTAAAAATATACGGTTGTAGGGCACAAAACAACCTACAACCCTGTTGTTTTTGTTTTCTTTTTGACCTATTAACCTAGGAATTAAAAATGTCGGGTTTTTCCGACCGCGGCCCTCGCCCGCAGCCGACCTCGATGGTCGGGATCCCGACCGTAGGCCGAGATTGACCCGCGGGTCCTTTGCTTGCGCGCCCTGTAGTTTGGTTGCCATGTTGGGGTTGCCTTGTGCTAGTCAGCATGGTCGCTCTACTGCTTGTCCGCTTGCCCTCTCGTCCCTTGCAGTGTGGTTGTCTTGGTGGTGTTGCCTGGTGCTTCACTGCTTGGGTGTCGTGCTGTGAGTTCGGCGTGCCGTGTCGTTCCTTGCAGTCGTTTTTGGCTTTGTGCAGCCGTGTTGCAAATCCTGCGCTGCCTGGTGCTCTGCAGGGTTGCTGCCCGCTGCTATGTTCCGCTTGGGGACAGTCTGCCTTCAACAAGGGTCAAAGGGTTCATGACCCAAACCATCAATACAGGCATTCCACAAATTGTCGAGGGTTCAGCCTCCTGATGAGTCGGTGCAACTCCGACGAGACAATCTATCATCAGTTTTATTTTTTTCGGTTTTGCATGTTTTGATACTTCTTTTTTTTTGGGATGTTTCTTTGGCATGTTGGTTGTGTTTTTGGGGCACTGTATTGTTTGTGTGCCCACCCGCCTCCCCCATGCCTTCCATCCTTTGCTCTCTGTTGTGAACTTGCCACTTTTTGTCATCAACTTCTTTTGTCCCCTGCCTCTTTCCTCACTTTTGTTCGTAAGTCGTTCTTCTGGACTCGACCATTCTCTCTCAACCGTCAGGCTGAGCTCTTGCCATGAGGAACTGATGGCATTCTCATCTGAATGTCGTACTTTTGTTCTGCCGCCTCTAGTCTTGCGCTCTGTTGTTGTTTTGGGAAAGGTCGTCTGGTGTGAAGCCTGGTCGCTGGGGTTATGTTTTCATTACTTACCACACACACCCCCAGGATTCCGTAACTTCGTGCGGGGTCCCCTGAAGGGCTGATACCCCTTCTCACACCCTGATCACTTTTTTTCGATATGACTTGAGTCGCGGAATATGTCTTGCGGTATGAATAGTCGTGGTTTTCTCGACGTGCATCCTGTTATGATTGATCCTAGTTCCTCTTCCCCGTGCCCTGTGTTACCGCGCGTTCATTGAACGCGCGTTTCACGTTCAGCCTTTGAACGCGGTGAACGCGCGTTCAGTGAACGGCGGTAAACGCGTTTGACGCGTTTGCGCAGGGGGTTGTGCGGGGTGGGGGGGGGCTTTGGGCAGTGTGGGGAGCGGCGGCGGTGCTTGGGGGGGTTGTGGGCAGTGTGGGGAGCGGCGGCGCTGCTTGGGGGGGGCTGTAGGCCAATGCCTGAGACAAAACGGAAAAAAAAAAAATAAAAAAAAATAAAAAATGAAGGCGGGGGGGGGGGGGGGGGGTGGGGGGGGGGGGGGGGGGGGGGGGGGGGGGGGGGGGGGGTTGGGGGGGGGGGGTGTGGGCCAATGCCCCGAACAAAACGCAAAAAAAAAAAAAAAAAAAAAAAGTGTGTGAATGTGTGTGTGTGTGTGAATGCTCCTTATTTTTTTTTCGGGGGGGGGGTTGGGGGAATCCCCCTAACCACAAACTCATAAGGGTCCTCGCAGCCATGTGGCGCAGAGCCCCCCACCAAAGAGAATTTGAAGGGTCCTCGCAGCCATGTGGCGCAGACCCCCCCACCAAAATCCAGGCAGGCAGTGAATATGAACCAGAGCAGGAGCTGGCCGATTAAATACTCAAGATTCGAGTTCAGGTCTGTGTTTCAGCAGTTATGGATTGCTCACGTAGCTAGGCCCGTGATTCTCAGGGCTTGGCTGAACTACTTACCAAATGTGCAAAACTAGAATGAATCTTTTGCAGAATGTGGAAAAATACGCCGCCATATGTTTTGTCTTTTTTTTTCTCATTCTTCTTTTGTTTTGTTTTTTTTAAGGGCCACTGCACGTATTCCTAAGAAAAAAGAAACGAGAAAAAAAAAACGAGAAAAAAGATAAACAAGAAAAAAGAAAAACAAAAGAAAAGAAAAACGAGAAAAAAAGATAAAACATATGGCGGCGTATTATTCCACGTTCTGCAGAAGATTCATACTAGTTTTGCACATTTGGTGAGTAGTGCAGCCAAGCCCTGAGAATCACGGGCCTAGCTAAGTGAGCAACCCATAACTGCTGAAACATAGACCTGAACTTGAATCTTGAGTATATAATCGGCCAGCTCCTGCTCTGGTTCATATCCACTGCCTGCCTTGATTTTGGTGGGGGGGGTTGCACCACATGGCTGCGAGGACCCTTCAGAAAGCCTGCATGGGGCGTCTGAGCCGTGTCTGGGGGATTCCCCCGGGGCCCCCCCCGCAAAAAAAAAAAGAGCACTCACACACACACACACGCACGTTCACATACTTTTTTTTTTTTTTTTTCGTTTTGTCTGGGGCATTGGCCCACAGCCCTCCCCAAGCAGCACTGTCGCTCCCTACGGGGTGGTGGGCCTCCCGGGGGATGTTTTTTGCACTTTCATGGTTTGTTGAACGAGGTCCTCCACCCCGTAGTTCGCAACCCGCGCGCACGCACCCTGGTGTCGCGTTCAAATTTTTCATGCCACGTGGCGCGCATCGCGTTTGAACGCGATTGAATGCGGCCCCGGGGTGTATGAATGCGCTGCGTTTAAACGTGGACGCACGTTCAGCGCGTTCAACCGGTTGCACAACTCGTACCTTGTGCCCTTGAGGCCGGGTTACGCAGATGGATGAGTCTTGAATCTGGTGGTTGGAGAGTATGGCTGGTCTCTTGTTCTTGTCTTGTTGACAATGGTTGTGTATGTGTCTGTCTATTTGCGTGTGCGGAGTCCTTGGGGCACCAGGCCGAATGGCCTAGTGCCCTAGGACACTAGTCCATCCGGCCCTCCCCCTTGGAGGGACAGTGGGTGGGTCACACACACACACACATACACACACACACAGTCAGTTTTATGTATGTTGCTCATTTTTCTATTGTTTGTCTCCCCTCTGATTTTTTCTAAGTATTTTTGTGTGGGCCCAACTGAGCACCCTTAGGTAGTACCAAACAGTCAGTGGTTCCTCGTTTGGAGTGCTAACTGCACTCTTAGGGGGGGCGCTCGGTTCAGGTTATCGGTGTTGTCTGTAGGTGATGGCGAATGCTCGTCGAAGTGTCTCCCTGGCTCAGTGGGTGGTGGGAACCAACAGTCTGTGGGGTTCACCCGTGATGTGAGTAGGTGATGTGCCGCTTTGCTCCGTGTTGGATGTGTGGACGGCCCCGTCTACGCTCCACCACTGCCTTGCTGCCCGTTCGGCTTGCCTCGCAGGTCGTTCTTGGCATGCTGCTGTTTTCGCTGTGTGGTTTGGCCGGGTTGTGGTGTTGCCTTGCGCTTCGCTGCCTTGCTGCCCGTTCGCTGGTCGTGCCTTCCGGGTCTTTTGCTTGCGCGCCCTGTAGTTTGGTTGCCGTGTTGGGGTTGCCTTATGCTCCTTAGCATGGTTGCCCTGCTGCTTGTCCACTTGCCCTCTCGTCCCTTGCAGTGTGGTTGTCTTGGTGGTGTTGCCTGGTGCTTCCTTGCTTGGGTGCCGTGCTGCGAGTTCGGCGTGCCGTGTCGTTCCTTGCTGTCGTTTTTGGCGTTGTGCAACTGTGTTGCCTCTACTGCGCTGCCTGGTGCTCCGCAGGTTGCTGCCCGCAGCTATGTTCCACTTGGGGAGAATCTGCCTTCAACAAGGGTCGAAGGGTTCATGA